AACGTCTGCCGTCATTTTGTTCCTGATGTAAGTGGATTACAAGTAGGTGGAAAGCCCCCTTCCTCCCTCCCGCTCCCAGATCCCTTTGAGTTGTCTGAGACAACTGAGGAACGAGGCTCCGATCAGCGTTATAAAGAGCTCATCTGTCTCAACACATCCACAAGGACGACAGCAAAGCATTGCTCTCAGATAAGAGCTTCTGAATTAGCTGTCAAAACAGATTATTTGCATCCTCAATATGTATTGGTTAAGAATCTCTTTTTTACTTTTATCATGGATCATCCATCAGTACCAGGCTTTTGTTGTGTCTGCCTTATGTTGTTCTTGTGGTTTCCTGTTTGACTCATTTTTAAAAGACCTGAAAGAATTACTTAAATCATTTTGTAAAATCATTATGGATTGGTACTATATTATGTATCTGCCCCTGGATCACCCATAATGAGACTCCTTGACAGTCAGATGCATTACATTTCTGCCATCCCCGACAAGGCTCCTCTGTGCTCTCTTGCTGCTAAAGGGCAACCACATACCAAAACATGCATACATAATTGTTGACAGTGCTCTGATGCTAGCTATAGCAGCTCAGAGTAGCTCCCAGAGTTCTGGCTCTGCAGTCCGGCGTGAAGAGCAATACAGTCAGTCCAGTCTAATGTTAAGGTCACAGATCATGAATGGCACAGCACTTTCTGCCATTCAAACAAAAGTCTGGACAACTCACCACGCTGTCCTGAGAATTATTTCCTAGTGCAGGCACAACACACAGGCCACTTTTACATTGTTTTCTGTACTTTTTGTTTGTGTTTGTGTGTACATGTGTGTATTTGCAGCTGTAGTAAATGAAGGCAAAACTATATGTGGCCATGGTGTTTGTGTCTCATTGGTTGACAGATTTGTTTGGGGTCTTTCTGGCTTTGGAGATAAACATGTATAACCTGATATGAATATTCCTAATGGTTTTTTAATGTCTTTCTAATCTGCCCTTTAAAGGGCTCTAATGGACTGTCCCTGTGTTTGCACAGAGAGGAGGAGCAGTGGCTCTGACTCATTTAGTGGTTACCTTTGATTCTGCACCAAAGCAGACAGGAGAGGTACACTTTCTCAGAACATCTTCTGTAGTAAAAAATAGAATATCTTGATATTTTACTTCAGGTTGCATAGTAGGTATGTTGCATTTGTTTTTGTCAGTTATTGAATATCCTGCATGTCCGAAAAGGAGTTTGAGCTTTAAAGTGGATTTGAGTTTATATGGAATGAAACAATGAACATTTTGTGGTTAAATAGCAGCCTGTCAATCCCAGAAGGACCTGCACTTCATTCTGAAAGATGTACGTTAAAATGTTCCTACTACACAAATTTTTTGAGACTGTAGTTGTTGATGTCTGTATTCACACTATTTTGAATTCCATTTTTTCTTCTTTTCTCTTAATGCCAGCATAAAGTGAAAAATAAGATTTAATAAACATTTTTGATAATGTGGGATATTTTAGGAAATACTTGCTACACTTTGTTACTGAAAGTTATTCAGTTTATTTTACAGATTTTTCACTGTATTTCCTACATACATGAAATTACATACCCAAATTAAAATACCCAGAAAATTCTGTAGCTTTGAATTGCCATAAAATTCTCATTTTTTGTAAAATACATTTTTCCTTTTTTTCACATAAAATTGTTACAATTTTATGTGAAATATACCGTAGCTCTAGGTCAATATTTTCCATAACAAAAAAATATTCTGCAAACCATGATGGTTAGTAGTGAATTCACTGTCTACACCTGGTACCTAACAAAGCCACTGTATGCTGTTCTTATACCTCCTTGGTACAAAATGGCTTTAATGGCCGCAACTATGTTTTTCATGCCAAAATATTTTTAAACCTTTTTTTTTTACATTGTAAAAAATTAATTAGGTTAATACCATTCTTATAGCTATACACTGAGGCTGGTTAGCTTAGCATAGCTTAGCACAAACACTGGAAACAGTCTTGATATCACCTTGGGGGTGCCAGGCAGCACATAACCATAATCCCCCTGTAAAGCTACATGTCACTGTTACACTGGGGTTTGTGGGATTAAACAAATGAGAAAATAACATGTTAATTAGTCAGCTTTCTTTTATCTTCTGACAAAGTGTACTACCTAGAATGGTGACCTATCACTATACATTCAGAGAGGCAAATTTTACAGTTGGAAAAAAATCATCATGTCAGTTGGATCTGGTAATGGAGACACAGTTACTAAAAGTTCTAAAAAACAACATTTTTGACAGTTTGGTACTGCACTTTCTTGTTATTTATTGGCTGACATACACACCAATAACTGCTAAGATAAAATCAGCCATTAATGTTGGTCACACTGTCAGTATCTTTGTACTGGTGTATACTGAATGGATATATTGGTCGGCCCCACATATTTAATATCAAGTACCCTAATAACTTTGTTTTATCCATGTGCATGTGTGTGCTTCTCAGTGATATGTTTCTCTCTATGTGGCAACGATGAAACACTAATGTAACACAGAGATCACAGTGTGTGTTTGATAGTGAGTTATAGGAGAAATAAGACGTGGAGGGTAATAACATGAAGCTGGCTCGGTTTTATTGGAGGAGTTGGCTTTATGAATCATGCAATTTTTGAATGTGTGCTTGCCTAACTGTATGTGTGTGATAAAGAGAGAGACAAGCAAAAAGAGAACATTTACGATGATATACAGCACGTGTTACCAATAAGAGTGCATTTAGCATCCCACCCATGCCTCTTTTGTTACAGTAAAATGTGTGTAGGTTAAGGACAGTAATCGCTTGCAGGGAAAGTGTGAGTGAGAGCGAGAGGGGAAAGGTGTGAGCAGAGGTTGATTGCAAAGCCATTTCCCAAGGCTTTGTCATGCTCTGTTAGCTGAAGAGCTCCATTTCAAAGACAATTTGTCTACCGCTGAGCACTTTGGCAAAGAGTGGCCTTGTGGTCAAGAAAGTCCATAGTCTTGTGTGTCTCACTGTGCATTTACGAAATGTTTAGCCTGTGATTGCCTTGTTGATTAGGAGCTTATACTGTACATGTATAACCTTGTGTGTATCTAAAAGTATATTCTTATAGTGTACATATATGTGTGTGTGTGTGTGTGTAGGAAAGGAGTGCGCTGAGCTCCTAAATCAGTCACTTTTGACATTAACACAGACACAAGCCCCTTCTAGTTAAAATCTACCAGCCAGTAGTAAACGACTGAGCAGCCACATTAGCTGGTCATGATCCACTCGTCGGCTCTTTTCCAAGGCAATGCCAGTTTGGCCCTTCACCCACAAGACTTCTGGAGAGGTTCTCCATCATCTTCAAACCTCACTGCCTGCAGGTGCTGCTGCTGCACTCGCACAGGGGTAGAGCAAAGGTATAAGAAGTGACTAGTGGCTCATTCTTACAGCACTTTCATTCACTAATCAAGCCTTTGACAAATGAAAATGTTAAGTTCTCAGACATAATAATCTCCTGTGGTGTTCATACTGAAACTGTCACTAGTAGCCTCCTATGAAGGAGTACAATGTGAGTGCACTAAATCATATTCTACTACTGATTTCAGCCAATCCCTGTGTCATCACCAGATCAGAGTGGGGAAAAATATTTTTAGTTAACAACAACTTAAGAACAGATACACACACACACACATACAGTTTATGCCATAATGAAACCCTATCAAGCATTTTACTTCTGCTGTAGTTTGGCGGAGCTTTTATTATTGATTGGATTTGATTACAGCCTTTTCATTTATTTCTACACCTCTCATGAGACACTGAAACAACTTCTTCCTATTGCTTACTGGACCTGAAGGGTTTCACCTACGTAGTTTTAATCATTTGCAGTAGGTACTTAAAGAGCTACTCTTCATTGTAAGAAAATGGGTAAAAAAAAAAAAAAGTAATATTGATGGATTTATACATTCTTTGTGTGGTTTTATGAGTAGAGTTTTATTCCTCTTATGACTGGTTCAGACTACATGATTTGTTTGTCTGATACAATGGTCAATATGTCAGATTATAAAGTCATACATTCTTAGACGAGGTATATAACAAACTACACGTTGGTACCTAAAGGATCACAAGCTGATGTTGTTCATGATTTTGAGGTGCCAGGGACCAGGAGAAGAGTGTGTGTGATACTGCCTGCTTGTGTTCGGAAAAGCATCAAAAAGGGTGGTGTGGGGGTGCAACTGTGGACCTCTCTGTGGGTTACACGAAGAACAGAGCAGCCTGTATTGACTCTGCTTCATGGAGAACTTGAAGTAGCAGTTAAAAATAGTGTTTTAAGTCAAATCTAAAACTAGCTGGCTAGCCCTGATAGGGTAGCTACTTCACAAGGTTGACTGTGAAAGTCACTAATCCAGCGTTAGCTGTATCTCTGCGAAATGTAATGAATATGGTTCAGTCCAATATGCCTAAACTGTTGTGAATAGAAGAGCTATCTGTGCGCCTGTCGGTCAGTGTCATCCCGCTTTCTGACATGCTAGACTTTGTGTCAGGAGGTCTTGAGGCATCTCAGATGCAGCATCAGTTGTAGTTTACTATGACACACTATAGAAGATAAAACAATCGATTGTCATGTCTGAAGCCATTTTGTCAGTTCCAGTGCCCTGCATCCATCATGTCGGGCTGTTATTGGGCTTAAACTGTGTAGTCTGGACCGGGCATTATGTAGAGAGCTTATCCTGTAGAGGGTCGTGGGGGTGGGGATGCTGGAGACAGTCCCAGATGTATTACTTTTTGAAATGGGAATGTTTGTTTGTTTTTTTTAGCTAGAGTGTGGAATCCAGTAAAATGATGCACAGTATGGGACAAACATGGAATATTCAAATACCTGTGTCGTCTGTTATGTCTGTGGAGGTGTCTGTCTGTGAGATGCATGGACCATAATAGAGTGGGAAAGTTGCTTTTTGGGTGGATAGACTGTATTTTTGATGTTAGTTATGGTGCTTAAATGGTCAAAAAGTCTTGATTTTTTTATCTTTCTTCCAGATATGCTGTTCTGCGAGACCCGGCAGGCTGGCTGAGTGTGAACCCAGTCAAAGGAACTGTCAACACTTCAGCCTCGCTGGACCGTGAGTCTCCATATGTCCATGAAAATAAATACACAGCTGTCTTCATCGCCACAGATAATGGTGAGTCACAGACACACTGTATGAGAATGATAGAAGGCAACTAGACATAAACAGTATGTGACATTTAAAATGATCTATAAAACCTTAAAGATACACACATGCCCATCTTGCTACCTTATCACTGATATAATGCAATTCTAGCCAGCAGCTAGTTGTTGAAAGGCTTTCGATTCCCTGTCCTAAACAGGTGCCTGGAAGATATTTCCCAGAAAACAACACATTTTCTGCAGAAATTTAAAGAAAAACAACGTCAAGATCCTGGTAACACTTGTTTAATTTGAAAGTGTAAAATCACCACAGGCACCAAAAACTCAACAGAATGTAATCATACAAAGATACTGTGTCTTTAAATACCACTTTAATCAAATACCTTTTTATAAGCTATTTAAGGTGTTAAAGGGTATCACTTAGGTCAAGATTCTACTTAATGCATTGGCAGCATCACAACAAGGCTTCCTAACACGCAGTAGGTTCATCCTCAGTGACGAGTGTTTGTGTAGAACCCATTGCAGCAAACATGGCCTGATTTTGAAAACAAGTGCAGTACACACTTGGAAAGGACTCGGTCTATCTGTTAGTGTACCTGGGCATAGTGAAACTGTCATTATCCCATGGTGACAATGTGCTTGGCCTTAAGTGATGCTGCCTCTATTGGACCAGATGGTGGCTGGCTGGCAGCATCAGTGGAGCTGCTGCTCTGAGACTTTCCATGGCACGAAGGAAGTGTCAAGAGCCCTGGTGTGTCTCTAGCTTTTCTCTTTGCTTTTCTCTCTGTCTCATCGCTTCTCTGAGTGTCTCTCTGTGTCTTTGTCCTCCTCTATTTCTGTCTCACTCCCTCTTACTATCAATCTATCTGGTCTCCTGTGTTCAGGGAGATTCTGACAGATCCATTAGAGAAACTGAGAGATTCTATTAGTAGGCAGCAGAATAGCACTGTTGTGCTGGGGAATTCAGCAGCCTTGGAAAGATGAGTGGTGAAAGAGGAGTAATGATGGGGGCGGAGGAGAAGGTGGTGGAGGTGGAAAGGTCAAGGGAAGAAGAGAAAGGAATGGACATAAGGGGAGATAACAAGAAAAAGATACAGAGACAGGGAAGTGGGTAAGGCAGAGGTGGAAAAGAACAGAAATGGTGAAGAATATGAGTCGACAGGTCAGAGAGAAAGATTAGTGTTGGAGCCAGAAGGGAGGCTTGGTAAGATGATATAGCTTGGGATTATTGTATCTTTCAAGATACTAGGGCCCGAAATTGCAACAAGTAGCCTGTGATTTTCAACATGAAATACTTCCCTCTCACTAAACGTAATTAATCAAAGAAAATGCCATATTTCAACCTATGCCCGAGCATATATTGTAGAATTTCTCACAATGTCAGACTCACAAATCTATCTATAATTTGTCATTAACAATCATTTATGAACCTACTCAACCACCATCTGCTGTGTGTGTGAAAATAGTTCCTGGAAATCACTCTTGGGAAGCAGGCCAATGATTTATACACTGTTATTTGTTTCTTTGAAATATATTAACTTATGGCTGGGGATCAACCCTTCCTACTCTCTGATAAAGGCTAAAACATCCGTAACCGATTATCACCACCTGTCAAATGCAGAAAATTGGCATCAAATGCTTGCTCAAAATTACAGTCACGATTACTTATTTAATCTGATTTTGCCTCAAGTTCTTGTATGGAGGCTTGGCTTTAGACAACATCTGACCTTTTTAAAGTGTAATTTCCATTGGGCTTTGTAGCAAAGCATGTTTGTCACATTTCTTTTGGTATCAATGCCAAATCTCAGGTGTTGCATTTCTAGTGACATCTAAACAAGACTGAAGGGAATATTTACAGTACTAATCCTGTCACAAATAACTATCAGATGCCATCAAATTCTTCCATTTGTGCTTACCAAAATTGATGGGCACAGCCACAGCAGTGTTAATTTGAAGACACATCCACTAAGGATCTGTACTGCAAATGTGTGCATAGAAGAAAGTTTAAGTTTACAGAGATTGAACTTTAATATGGTTGAAAAAACTAACAAACATATTTCAGAACAGCAATCATACAGTCTTCTGCCAGTCATATTATATTATTAGTTTATATTATTATTAAAGCACGGTTTGACCTGAAAGTCTGTACAAGTCTGTTTTTTGAGTGATGTTATTAATAAATGTCCTCTCCCTCTTCAAACATGTTCTTAACTCTGAAGAGGTCTTAGATGAGTAACAGCTGCCACGCTGAGAGCTGTGCCACAAATTTTACACCTGCTTGCTCCTGGCCTTAAATTTTCGCTGCAGTTCCCTCTGGTGCAGAGGTGGTAAATCAGGTGCTTAAGGTATTTGTATAAATGTTCAGTTCTCTCCTCCCTGAATGGGAACACCTTAAACTACATATTGCATGAGACCTAATGCAAATTCCTGCGGGGAATCTGAGATCATGCACTACTGCCGTTCTAAAGAGTCCCCAATATCCCACTTTTGTGCTGTTCATATAGATCAAGCTAAGGGTGGTATAATCACGAACCAGCTTGTGACTTCAGACAGCAGGCCGGGATTCTACACCAGAGGTGAGATGCAATGTCACTCTGTCAGCTGTGACGTAAATTTTGTACCAGTAGTCTACAAGCCAAGACAACTGTGGGGGAGAAGATAAGCGCCGATGTAGCTTTGTTGGCTCTTCAAGTATTTTTTTCACTTCATGGAAAATTGGTTAGCGTGGTTCTTCCTATGTGTGCGAGTGTGATTACTAAGTGCAGTCAACATGTTCATGACATCAGGAATGCTTTGACCTGTAAGTTAGAAGCCAAGAGCAGTTCAAGGCAGAGAGGCATGAAGACTTGAGACACTGGTGCACTTTGTCCCAGACTGCCAGCTCACTGTTTTTACACAGAGCATGTCTCCCCTTTGTTTTGCCTCTGGTACTACCTTCAGAGGCGTAACAAAAATGGCCCACCATTCTGGCTTTGCACCTTACACACAGAAAAAAGATGGGATAAGGGTGCACCAATCCTGCCTCAAAAAGGCAGTGTGTAAGGGGCTATAGTTTGAAAGAGGGGTGGAAGAAATCATCTATGCCAAAGTGGAACAGTCATCACCAAAAAGAGGAGGTAGTCTACAACACCCAGTATCATCTTAAAATGCAGTCCTGACATCCTTAGGCAATTTAACACCCAACACCCACCCCTTGACTCATGTGACCTTAGTGACCTACATGATGGCTGGGTGAGGCAGTGACCAACATGTGACCACAATGGCCCACAAGGTTGTTAATAACTTTATAGAACTTAAATACCTAGAACTCCCCACCAGTCAGAACTAAAGACATTTCTCTGATGAGAGGTGCAATGTCTTCAAGATCCTCAGGGAAGTCCATTTGACAAGCTTTGCAGTTTGGATACAAACTACACTCATTAGTTTTCCCTCATATTTAGTCATTGTTATGACTCAGCTTGTTGGGGAAAAGGGAAATTAATACAAGCAACCAGATATAAAAGGTTATTTATTAAAATAATTGGGGTGTTTCTACTAAATCAATTGAAATCACAAAAATAGACTACAAAAGAGAACAACAGAAACCAAAGACACAAAACTTCAAATATTCACTACAGAGCAAATACATTGCCTCATAATACAAATGACAAGGTACAAAGTGGAGTGCAAGGTGCTAATAAATAAGTAGACACTAAAAGTGACTACATAAAATGAGAGACACAATCAAATAAAAGAATAGCAAACAAAGAAAAGACGAAGTGGCAAGCTGCTCGCATTAAACCACAGTGCCCTGAATGAGACCTAAGCTGTGCTTTTAAAGCAGATGAACAGGTGAGACTAATTGGTGGTTTTGGACTGGATCACGGGGCTGGGATGCTGATGCAATCAGTAAGGGAAGGAGTTTGCTGGCTCTGACTTGGGACCGATACCGACCGTGAGTTTTTGTGTCAACCGTGTTTTGTTGGTAGTTTTAGTTCTCTTAATAAAGAGACGGTTTTGTGTACACACTTCCTCGTCTGGCCATTTAATTGAGTTCACAAAAACACTTTTCGGCCGCATTAAGCGCGCCGTTTCTGACCGGTAGTTGAGGAACCAATCCCCAGATGGCCATCTGCACAGACCAACTTGCATATGTTGATTTACCCCAGAGGATGGGGTAAAAAGGCCAGGGCCGTAACATCAAAACTACCAGTATATAATGTTATGACCTGATGATGGTGGTAGATGAAAGTCTGAGTATCACCAAAGTCTGTGCAGTTCAATCTAAGGAGGACATGAATGTCTTTACCCAATTTCACAGCACTCCATCCAGCAGGTCAGAGTGAAAACTGCCGGTGGCAAAATGTGAGATAGATTACATGTACCTGTGTCCATGCTGCTCCCAGGCCACTATTCTGCAGAAGATGTAAATGAGGAAAGCCATAAAATTCCTGCACCTTTCATGTGCATATGGATAAAATGTGAGTAGAATGCTGATATCCTCACACTACTCTGCTGCACTCTGCATCATCAACTGGACAAATTTGCTTTATGATTGTATGACAACCCACCTACAGTATGTAAACTTCCAACAGAGTATCGATTGGCTCTTCTTTATGTGAAGTCTTAAAGTGAATACATATCCACCTTGCACTGGAGACAGTGAGGTTGAGACTGGGAGAAGGAGAAAAAGTACTGTGTCAAACAGAAATGGAAGAAGTTACAGAAGAGGTATATGAGATGTTTCTGTATACAAAAGCCAACAGGGAAAACATATTCTGGAATAGGAGACATTTGATTGAAAGTAATGGATATTAAGGGAGATTAGAGAGAAGCCATTACTGCATCACCAATGACCTTACATTTATACCTACTAATTAACATTTTTCAAAAATATGTTGGACATAACCTTAAGTAACTCTGGGGTTAAAAGTAGTTCTGAAATAAGAATTTTCTGCTTTGTCAAAGGCCAGTTGAAACAAGTTGTGTGGTAGCTTGAAATGGCATGTATACTCTTGTCAAATGTTTTGCATA